CGTAATTAATCCAGGAGTCGATGTCGTTATTGAAGTCTTGGTTGCTAAAGGGCGAGCTTGAGGGGTTTCTGCTCATACTGGACATTATAAACGTGAAGGCAATAGCCTTTGTAGAAGCTGGGAGTTAGACAGTGGTAGAGCAACGGTGTTCACTTTAGTACAGTAGGTTTGAGTATCCCTCTGGGAGCTGCTGATGAGATGGGAGACGTATGAATAAAAGTGACCGATTAAGCGAGAGAGCAAGTATTATTTCGGTACTTACAGAGGATGTAGTAAAAGTAGTATGGGGTTGGGGGGGGGTTGTTATGGTATGTATGTATATCTTGGGAGAGCAGTGAATAATAGATGTTTATTGTATTGGAGTGGTTATGGTGACGATGATGATGGTGAAGAGGGAAGAGAGATGATGGAGGAGAAGGAACAGCTGAATGGTGTGAACGGCGTGAATGGAACGAGCGAGAGGTGGAATGGCAGCAAATGTGTAAGTTACAAGGGCGGCTGTGTAGGGGTGTGTGGGAGAAGTAAGAAGAAGAGGAAATTCGGGGGAAGATGCTGATTTGATTGATTCAAGGGAAAGCAAGCCCAGGATCTTGCAGGCATCTGGGGAGGGAAGCAGGCTGTGCCTAGTCTCGGCGGATTCGTGTTCACCCGCTCTGCGATGCTCAAAACGGTCCTTGCAGCGCTTGGCGCCTTAGATCCCAAGCTCAAGTCAGGCATTCCGCTTCTTACTTGGGCTCTTCCTCACATTTGTTCTGCGAATTTTTTAACAGCCGGCGCTGATGACTGGACCAAATAATTCCATCACCCAGTACTTTTGCACCAGTCGCTGGCTGAGTACACTGGACCGTCACTCTCGGCCGTTGTCGCTTCTAACAATAAATCCTGTGAAGCAGCGGGCTATGGATGCAAGCTTGTAGGAAACGAGCGAGTAAGAAAGCGAGTTCCACAACCAAAGAGAAGTGCAGACTGCAGCCTAGGAAGTATCACATCGTGGGAAAGCGGGCGGGTATCATGGCGTCTCCGCAGAAGATCATTTACAACATGTTGTACTCTACTCCACCTGCCTACTCCTTCATATTACACGCCGCCTCACTCTCGGCCGAACTGGAGATAGTCGTTATTTTCGAAATGGCTGACTACATATAGGTATCCTTAGATTTTGCGAGATGGGGAGTTTAAAGTACACTCATTGGACTACCTATAAACTACATCACGCAAATCTACATACGGGTACTATATCTATCTACAGTGCTTTTGACCCCTTGGGTCCTTCTTCCCTTATAATTTACCGGCTCCTCGACTGCAAGGCAAGGCAAATGGACTTCCCTACCCTGGACACTCTGGGCACGCTTGGCACCTACTTCTTCCTTCCTTTCCCAAGGAGCTTACGTCACGTACCCTGGTTCGTGTATGACATAGGGTTTGGGGCTAAAGCGCACGTGTGGCTTGCAGGGCTTGCAGGCAGGCTCAGCGTTACTATTAATACCCCGGAGGCTCTGGTCCTCAGGCAGTCACGAAGAAAATCCTTAAACAGAAAATATTCACAGTGGCTGATGAAATATTAAAGCCCCACTCTAACTCTACGCAAAGCCACACGGCATTAGAGACGAGGGATCCGGTAAGGATTCATAGTACCGGACCGTGCTCCAGGAGAACGGACGGAACTTTCCGTTTACCCTCTTTCTCACACCCGAAACTCACTACCGAAGCTCTCTCGGAAATCTGGCTAAGGAAAATGGTGAAGCGATCTCTCGGTTCGACATGCTTGAGGATCAAATACCTATGGGTCCGACAAGCTTCTGTGACTGATTCTGGAACGTGTATCATCTAAACGTCCCTGAGACGAGCTTGAGGACTAGGTACCTCCCCTAATCCGCAGAGGGAGAAAAAGGTCTCCAAGATCCGGATCTGATAGGAGGAACCCACAAAAACACTACTTGTTTCGTTTACTTTTGGTTTGACTAGTATAACAATTCTCGTTCGTTCTATCATACCGATACCGTGCCAGCCGTGAAACAAAATATTCATGTTGATCTTTGGGATGCCGCTTGGACAGCGAGGTCAGTGCGGAAAGAATATGAAAGCTTAGTGAATCGCCGTTCCTGGAACTTGACTTAGTAGAGCACCCCGACTTTGGATTGACATGGCTCTTGGACCCTTCAGACAGTAACAAAAAGTAAAAATCTCCTCGGGATATATATTCATTTCTAGATTAAACCACATGCAATGGCCAACTCAGTATCGATTTCTTTCAACTAGTCCGAGCGAAGCTAGTAATTATACTATCGATATTGCCGTTATGCATGATGGAATGCTCCGTAGCCTACCCCTCTCCCTGGGAAGGATGAGCTTGTTCAGGAGTCTTCTTCTGGGTCGTTTCAGCGGGCAAACCCTCATAAAGCAACTTATAGCAGGTTTCCGGGGTGATCTCCTTTCCAGGACCAGGAGACTTCGTGGAATCGGATTTATGGATACAACACCTAACTCTATGCAGTTGTGGATATGTGCCGGACAAGTGTGCTGATATGTTATTGACGATCGGAATATTCGCCGCTCGCTGAATATGTACTCTACCTCCCGCTGTTCTGGTACACCCCCGCCAGAAAGAAAGAAAAAGCAGTCATCCTTTGGCGGGGAAAAGATCCAACTGAGCAAAAGGTCCTTGATATTAACGTGCCAGCGCTTGATTGCATACATCATGGCCCGGGCTGTCATTGTCCTGCATGTAGCTTGTGGTTCAACTGTCGCCACTTACAAACGTCGGTAGTAAATTCCCAGTGGAACGTCCGAAGGAAAGAAGAAAGAAGGTGGACGCTAGCGGGGAAGCTAACTTATTCAAGACGAGATGAAACATCGAGAGATTTGGTACTGGGCTCCTACTAACTAAATCAAGACGAAACTATGAAAAGGGGGTAATGATAAATACAGACTTCGCAGAATGCTGGGGGGATCTACCTATAGTATAGTGCGCAGGTTGAATCCAAGCGATGATGGTTATAGTATCATTGACTTCCTAGCTTGATACGGGAGAAAATATGGTGTGATCGTAAGGCGGTCTCAGGTCCTCTCGATAGTTACGAGCCGTCTAGTTTGATATATCTAGGCAAATCGATACATACTTGATTGGCAAGGCAGAGTTATAATATCAGTCATGTCAGAGCGCCCTTCCAGCACACGTACGACGTGGTGCACTGCCGCTCATGTCTCTCGAGACAGGAAAGTTCGGGATTATATGGAATTCCTCACACAGTGATTAACGAATCTCATAATCCCACGAAGCACAGTGGTTCAACAGGTATTGATTTCATAATATTATCTGTCAGCATTCTTGATGATGGGATCCAGATCTTTTTGTTTTTCTTCCTTGATTTGTGGTTTTGTCTTTGGTGCAGATCAATTCAATACTACTGGTCATGTTTGTTAATCGTTGATGCATCTATAAGTCACTAGACAGAGCACATAGCCACTAGACAGAGTAAAATTCTTCACTAGCTTACAAGTAGACAACCACTTCAACAAATAGTTGTATCCGTCTCCAAGCGTTCCTCCAATCGGCCCAAACTATACAATATAGCGAGTGATATCTTATGATTTCTGCGTCAAACAGATATCTGGTTCAGGCTCTGCGCATATTTGATTACGGTCTTCAGGCTTTTTATTATTCGTGAGATTTTTGCGCTTGACATAATTCGATCACCAGAGCTTATGGAGATATGGTATCAGATAAATTAACGCCAGGGCCACAATCCCGAGTCGCCGTGGATCGGCCGAGGCCAGGCTGTGGTATTGTCCCATTACCGAGCGAACCAACCCATGGTTTGAAAGTTACCACCCTGCGTTCTGGACACGGGATAATTTGGAGAACGGATGTTAAATGAGCCTGTTTTTATTGATGCCGCTGCAGCCATCTGCTGCATCAAAATAGAGTATTCAAGATCCGCTAGGTTGTTAAACCTGCCTTTTATGGTAAGTGTATGGAAAATCATCGATTGCTTCCATCTGGGGGTGTAACAACCATCTAGCTTAGACACTTTTCCATTTGCTAGGAGTTTAGTCTGCGTATATGTAGCATTAGGAGTTCCCAACACTGTACTGTGGGATATAGCTATAGGACCTCGCTTATCTTTAGTTCCACACCTGGAGCTTAATTTGTGTGTTCAAAACCACCAATCTCCCCCAACGCCAACGGCATAAGGATTATATTAGATGAATGGTATATATACCGGTGGTTGGAATGGCGGTGGGACATCCATTCCACGAATGAGAAGGGAATTTAAAGTCGACAATATTGGCCAGAAAAATCTGAATTATTCTATAGGTTAGATTTGAGTAAGAAAAGATCATGACACACAGCTATGGATCTATGATCATGCAATAATGGCAAGATCAGGTAGGTGCGAACTGGGTCGCTTCCTTTTGGCTTGTTTGAATAAGTACAACCACTCTGCAAAAGTGTTCGTGATCCAGATTTCGGAGCGAGACATCTCACTATGTAATCGTGGCGAACCATCAAAAAAAAAAGGTCCCTCAAGGGTTTCCAAGTGACCAATGGTACCCGGAATCAATGAAGAATGTGATCAATGGCCTACCTTCTTTATCTATAGTCATGAACTGTATTATATATTTTTGTTGTTTTGAATTTTAACATTAAAAGTAACATCAACATTATATTACGGGTGTGCCACACTGCAGAGTGTCTGTAACTTGCATAACACGTTACTTGGTTGAATTAATCGCATGTTATTATATGATATTGATCAAGACATTGAGACGCATATATGTCTATAACCTAGATAAATCTCTAATACTCTCGACTGCCGTATTTTTAGTTAATCTTGCAGTTTATTCGTTATGTTTCTCTACCGTGTTAATCGGGAGGATTGCGAGCAACCGGAAAACGGTTTGGGTGCCACCACCGACGTCAATGATTACACAACTATCACTAGAGTTTCTGATTGTCGGATATCATGTTTTCGAAAAGAGAAAAATAATTGCAATGAAGCTCAATCCCGGACTCGAACCGGGGTTGCCGGAAGTTTAGTTCAAAATCCGGAGTGATAACCTCTACACTAATCAAGCAGTGAATCATGGTCCAATCGGGCATACAATCCCTCTCCTTCAATCAAAGCATTCTATTGTGAGGCTGCAGCACTCGCCTGCCGCTGTCCCTTCTTTGTTTGGCCATTCGTTCTCGTTGGTCATGTGGTATCACTCGGTGATTAGTGGGTTTCTTACCTGTATCTAATTTCGAGGCCAAACTCCACTTGACCCACACTACAGGATAAACTAGAAGTAAAACTCGACCAATAGAACACATCAAATCTAGACTTCTATGACCATAGCCTATTATTCCTTCATCGGAATCTCTACGTAGCTTGTGGGTCCAACAATGTATGGCGTCATACAGTTAACGTTGCTTTATGAACGCACACCGTTGCGTAGAGTCTTAAGCCTAGTTATCCCTGATTTTAGATATCTCGCTGAAGCATGCTTTGCTTATAGTTGCCATCATCGCTAGCGCGCGGCTGAGGAACCAAGGCTGCTTCAAACTAGATCGCCTGAAACGTATCCTCAAATCAAAATTCCTTACTAACAAAATGAATTTCTAAGCGCTTTTACTTACCTTCTCGGATATAGCGGGCTCATGCTCATCTGGATTATAGCTACAGGTGAATAAAAGCAATGCCCATACATAAGTCCGAGTGGTGAATCACTGACTATCAATTAGACTCGATCAAAGCCACTGCCCATGTTTCAACAATTTCCTAATATCCTTCATATCTCCTATGAGTCCAGGGAAAGAAAACCTTCGTAAATAGCAAGATTTAATTGATTGACCGGGTTGGCACATGTAAAATAAAGAATACTCACAATCCACAACCAACGTTTTACTAGGCTTCTGAAGTACTGTGATAGTGCGGCCAAGCTCGCTAAAGACGAACCTAAAATAAAGGATAAAGATATCTGCATGCACTATACCAGTACGCACAGTATTAAGTATGATGCTCAAAATGACTTTTGTGGTTTAGCTACCCTACTTCGGCGGGCATATCTGTCATGTCTTACCTTTAATAGCTAGGCTATAATTGCCGCTGTCACTTCGCCCGCCTCACCGGCGGTCATATATATAGGACATGCGGTTACCACTATATATAGATACAGCGCGAGGTAAAAAGTGAAGGCAGGCAACCAAAAATACACCAAAATTAGCTTAAACCGAACGAAAACACACATCCCAATTGCAATCAGGAATCAACAAGACTTTATAGAGTAAGACTTTGGGTATCAAATTTAATATATCTAAAAGGCACTCTCCCAGGTCAGATGTGAAAGAGCAATTTGGAGATTCGGCTATTGAGCTTATAGGGCAATTCTTGACATGCAAGAAATATACTTCTCCAATTCTCGGGGATTATTCATGATAATTGGTGATCTAGGGCCACACCGAAAAGTAGCATTTTTGGTGTATCTTTGGTTGCCTGCCTTCATTTTTTTTACCTCGCGCTGCACATATATACTGATGCTCTAAGTATATCTGGGATACTTGCTCCTTCTGCGGTGCAGCAGTATCTATAAATGAGGCGCCCGATAAATTGACGGGCTTCGGGCGTATTCTCTGTAGAATATTGCAGAAATAACTTCTCTATTTGCTAGAGTAACAGCTAGCTATAAAATCTTCTATTTGGCTTCCTGTCTGCCCAATTCTTTTATGAGTTGGAACGTGGCCTTGATACCGGTTTTTCCGTTTAAATGTTTTTTTTAATGAGAACCACGAAGCTGGTCAGAGCATTATTTGGTGGGTTAGGGTTTCTTATATGGTGTATGGGTTTTCCCCTTCTTTTCTCGTCCATTGTAAATACATGTAGTTAATATATCGATACGTGATTGGTTAGAAACTCTAATAAGTGATCTCGTTCAGCGGCTTACAAGTTGGTAATGATATGGCGTACTCCTGTAAATATCGAAAAATGATTTGTGCAACGCAATCTGGTACTTTTTACACTGAAGGTGGTTCGATTTCGTTCGTTAAGCCTGCGCATACACGTGGTACATACATATATACTTCAGAGATTTTGGCTATTGCTATATTCTTGTCTCTGTGTGTGCAACACACACTCTCGTGAACTCATGATAATGGTCATGTCACTACTGAGAATTTCTCTCTAGTTTTGCGCAGTCTCACCCCAATCAGTAGTTTCGAATAAACCAGGTTGCTGGAGACCGGTTGGATTATCTACAACTTTCAAAGTTAAGTTATGATAAATGAAGTTTCCGTAAAACGACTTTATGGCCAAGTTTAATATTCTCACCATTGAGCTGTGAATCATAGAAGATCACTCGGATGAGGACGGGGCGAAACTCCTAACCACAAATTGATGACGCCATTATGACTGAGAACAGAATGTAATTATAAACAGGACTCTTTGCATGTTATAGAGTACAAAATCCAAGTCCTACAAGCATCATGTCTTCATCCTCCATTCTTGACGAGTCTTTAAAATTTCAGAACGCATCAGAGCTTGTCACCGCCGAGGACTATAGTGACTCGGACTGGGGGGCGATTATAAACAGATTCGGTTCAAAGTCACCAGAACTGGATGAACCTCCTCAAAGCCCTTTGCACTCAGTAACTCTCGCACTTTCCGGAATCAAAGGGCTTTTTGCAGACCCGGTAACAGACTCCCACACCATGCGAACCACCCGAAACATATGCTCAGCCACCGGTGACCTTCGAGGTAATCAAGAAGCTATATAAAGAATTATAGTCAACAATTAAGGAGTTTAACGAGTCTATCAAGTATTATGTAGCTCCTGATATGCGAAATCTGACAAGCTCCGTGGATTCCATCAGGAAGGACATGGAAGCCAACTCGGCGGAGTTGGAACTGTACAAGGTTTGGAGATCACATCTTCGTAAGGCCATAAAGGAATTGAAGATAGTAAATTCTCCTATGCTAACTTCCATCACGCACGAAGACGACTCGAAAGCCGAAGATAAGCCTAAACTGGCTATGAAGAGGCATCGCCTGGGTTCGCCTCCGGAAGATAAATCAAATACTACAGCATCAAAGTCTCGCAAATTGGAGGAAATTTCTCCCTGCCTGAGTCAGGCTGACCAGTATGAGTCTTTCCATGCTCTTACAACCGCCCAGTCCCCACCGCCAATCGCACCGCCCAGGAACTCAATAGCCTGTAAATTTCAGGCATTCAGTGTACTTTGGGCCCTAAACTACATGTATGCCAGAGGAAGTCTCGTGAGACATCGGTATTCCCGCCGAGCCTCCGCGTATTATTATCATTAAACTATCATTGTGTAGTCGTTGTCTCATAACGTCCATTATTACTGGAGATTCTGGCTATATAGGTTTGATGTCAAATAAATTAAGCAAGGCTGTTTTCATCGAAGAGTTAGCATAGAGAATTGTGTGGTGATGTATTTGGTGAAGTGCTGAGGGGGCTGCGATTGTCTAGTGCGCCCCCTGCGGTTGAGACTTCAGGTTAACGATTAACTAATCTACAATTCATATACAATGACGCCGAAGTCTAGAACAATCCCAGGTATTATAACTTGAAACTTCAGCGCTTTTTACATAAGCAATGGTGTATTGCCTCCAATCTATTGTGTCAAAGCAAGACCTTGATAATTTTCCGTCTTCCAAGTGGTCTAAGTCTAAGACTACTCGGGAAATCGAGGTTACAGTAGGAGTAAGATACATACATGTAGTTTTGCGATATCCGTAGTCCATATGCCATGCCATTATCATCATCTAGGATTATCCCATAGTGAATCACAACTCGTACGGAACGCAAATCTAGGAGAATAATTTCGGATCCACCGGTCATGGATGATCAACTTCCATCCTATCTAAGAGAATCACCTTACAGCCTCTATGAGAAACATTTTTCGAGCAGGATATATAGCAATCAGAGTAACATGAATTTACAAAAGTAGTATCAAATGCATAACAATAGAGTGAGGGTCATACCAAGGAAAAGTCCAATACAATAAAGAAAAAAAGAAAAGAAAATACATATACTAAGAGGGGCCTTGGTTCCGCGGGACCACACAAATCTCAACCCAAATCAATATCTAAAACAGCACCCAATGTGCAATTGGCAAGCAAGTGATAGACCGGTCAAGATCCAAAGTAGTAACAACTTCATCCCCCAAAGGGTTACCACGCCACCTAAACATCATCAAAATAATTCCACCATTCAAGATTCTCGTCCCAATTCTTTGGTTTCCCATAAGCTCGGATTAATCCCAACCTGCGTGCCTCCTTATCCCTATATTCCCTTCTTTGGTCTAATCTCTCGCACAACTTTACCAGTGACCACTTTGTCCTCCGCTCACCAGTGGCACCCGCATCTTCAAATAACACCGTCCTCAGATAATCCGCGGATATATTGGATCCCTTGAGTCTGAGGTTTGGATTTCCGACTGTCCAGATATTCCATCTAGGATCCTCTTTGGGGGGGCGTACAGGGCGCCCGCCACTGCTCATTTTGACACGCTTTGAGCTTGGCTCCTGTTCGCCTTCGCGAAGAGTGTACTGAACATTCGGATCGAGTTTGATGAACCTGGTCCGGAATTCTTCGAAGGTGACACCACGTACTTGTTGCTTTGGGGGTTCCTGTTTCTCCCCTACTTTGCGCGACTGCAGTCGTTGTTGGCCTGGCTCTTCATCATCATCGGAGATCTCATAATAAAAACGCTTTTTTTTATTGGAAGGGCGTGCATATGTTGTTGAGGGATCGAATTTATGGATTGCTGGGTTGTAAACGAGGCTGTTTTGGATCTTCGCTTTACCCATGCCCTTATCTTTGCTTTTGATTCCGGCCTCTTCATTTGACTTTTGCTCTGCGAGGCGCTGGTTGTACCGATGCATCGTCAAGACATCGTCCTGAAACTGCAGCTTTTGTTTAAGTTCCTCGGGGGTGAGAATCTCGTCGGTGGCTCCCAGATACTGTTGAAAAGGTCTATTTAACAGCGGCTTCTCGGGATAGAGATATGGGGGAGGGGGGGCGTACCGGAAGGTATTTCTCGAGGTCAATTGGCTTAGGAGAAGACTGGTGAT